CGGCGCGGCTCCGCGGGCGGCGGCTCACGGCTCTCTGCTCCCCAGGCAACCTCTACTCCCGCCTCGTCCACCTGGAGGGCGACCACGTTGCCGTACAGATCCAGGACACGCCGGGCTGCATCCAGGTACGGAGATGCTTTGGATCAGTCCTTCTCTGCCACCCGAAGGCTCAGCTTTTGAGCCCAAGTTTCCTGTATGTCCAGACTTAGTCTCCAGGCTTCCCTCTGGACCATTTGAGTGTGCTGTCTATGCACCCAATGCAAATCTGTGCTTTTCCTTGTACCACAGGTGCAGGAAGACTGTATGCAGGTGCTGGACTCCCTGTCCAGGTGTGTGAAGTGGGCAGAGGGCTTCCTCCTGGTCTACTCCATCACAGACTACAGCAGCTACCAGTCGGTCCGACCGCTCTACCAGCACATACGCAAGGTCCACCCTGATGCCAGGACTCCCATCATCGTTGTGGGGAACAAAGCAGACCTCCTCCACGCCAGGCAAGTACAGGCAAAAGAGGGACTACAGCTGGCTAATGAACTGGGCAGCCTGTTCTTGGAAATCTCTACAAGTGATGACTCCCAAGGCGTCTGCGACGTCTTCCAGTATCTTTGCAAGGAGATCAGCAAACTACAGCACGCTGGCAGCACGGACAGGAGGAGATCATCCATCATCCCTCGGCCCAAGTCTCCCAACATGCAGGATCTAAAGAGACGTTTCAGACAGGCTTTATCTTCCAAAGTCAAGTAAACTTCCCAATGAGATCCTGTGTGACTCAATAGACTTTATTTTTGTAAACTAGTTAATAAAAGTCTTTATTTTTGTACTAATGCCATCAGTGTAGAAGTAAGTATGTTGAAGCTTGAAATTTCCTTGCCATTCTCTTGTTTGACTGGTTGGGTTATTTTTGCCAAAAAAAAAAATATTGCTGCCTAGCAACTAAATTGAAGTAGTTGAAGAAGATTTTTGCCAGGAGGTTTTGATTCCATTTCTGTTTGGGCTGAGACTTGCTGTGTTATCCTACTCAAATGATTATTTTTTTGAGGCCTCAGTTTCCTGTTTGTAAAATGGGAGTGATAATGATGTTACTCACCTGCCTTTATAAAACACTTGGAAAGCCTTTGGTGGAAAACTTTATAGGAGAAAAAAAAAGCTCTATTAAACATGAAAATATAAAACTGTCTGTAAGAATTCTGATTATAACAGGATCACTTTCCTCACTCAAAACTCTTGCTTGCACCTAAAATAGCCCAAATGCTGATAAGCTGTTAGGAATGAGTTTCGATTTCCAATGTGCTTGAGATATCTGTTCTACAGAATTAATCTTTTGAGCCCCAAGCATTTAACAGGAGGGTTGAGTTTCTCCTACAGATTACTGTAGGACAAAGTGCTGAGCAATCCACAGCAGAGGAGTGTGTGGGATGGCTGTTGCTTTCTCTGGAGACGTGTGATAGGAACGACTGATGCGTAGGTTCCCTGAACAGAAAATAGCTATATTTATAAGGAACCACATCTTTATCTTCCCCAGCGTAATTTTGTAGCTATTAGAAACAGGTCTGACTTTTAACTCTTATTTCAGATAAGCTCTAACCATATGGGGTTTATTAACTGTTTGCTGGATGTCTGAGCATGAAATGTGGGTTTTACCCTTCAAGAATGCCTCTGAAGTATGTACGTTAAAAATAGAGCTCTGTTCCATGCTGAGTAGAGTATATGGAAGTAGATTAATCCGCACAGGGGAAACTTGCTGTCCTCACTCAAGCACAACTCCAGTAAGATTTTATTTTTAAAAAATCTCATAGATTAAGTACAAATACCATTTTCTTCTTTCTTTTTGTTAGAAAAAGCAGGTAGCTGCTGTGCAAGCGCCTGGCCGGCTGCAGGGACACTCCTCTGCCTTGTAGTTAGTGGGCAGTCTCTGTTGCTTCTGACCCCTGGGGCTGGAAGCTTTCTGGGCCACCTCCACTCTTTATCTGTAGATCAAAGTCTTCCTGATGGTCCTAATTGAGGGAAGGGTGACTGAGCAAGTTAAAGACCATGCTCTGCGCAGAAGCATCAGAGACCTGTGCTAGCACTGGGTAGGGGTGTGGGATGTCAGCAGCACTATTCCCCACCCAGGGCCATGTATGCATCCTCCGTCCAGGCATGTTACCTGTATGTCTCTCCCCTGAAGGCTTTGTGCTTACCTACCAAACAGAACAGGAGAGCTGAAGGGAGGCAGCTCCAGACCTGTAGGAACAGCCTGAAACTGGGATTGCACACTGGGTCCAAAATTCTTGAGTTATTTCATGGGAATGCAAAAGCATGGTGGCAGCCTGGACAAATCAAAGCACTGTTTAAACATGTTAATATAACATTTAACACATGGTAGATAATTTCTTCGCTGTGAGAGTTGCTCTGTCAGGCCCAGGACTCTGGGCTGGGGGCTTGAGGGGAGCAGTGGAATGGGATTGGTGAGAATGAGCACATTCCTGACAGACATGAACTCACCACATGGGCCGCATGTTCACAGGGAAATTTGAAGAGGAGTTGAAAAATCACAAGTCATATATTCATGAAGCATTTCACCATCCTGGAACCAGGATAACAAGAGAAATTACCATTGTGATGCTGTTCTGTTTTTTAAACTGTAGCTTTTGCCTTTGAAAAGATCAAAGCTTCATTTTCTACTCATGTAACCAGTGCAGAGTTTTGCTGAGCAAATTGCTAAAGATATCCAGGTCATACACGGTCACAAAATATGCTATAAGGGCAAGTAATGTGTACTTGACCTGTCTGCATTGCACCACAGTCCTCAAAGGTCAGGTGAAAAAGAGCATTGGGCACTGATTCAGGTGCCTCCCACTGCCCCAGGTGAAGCAGGAGCTTAAGTCCCCACTGTGGTACAGCAGGAGAGTCAGGGCAGGAACTGGTGGACACAGGATGGGAGGGATGGGCAGGAACAGAAGAGTAAATACAGTCTATTGCCCTGTCTCTCTCTCTCACGGGCAGAAGCTAAGGAAATGGGGCTTGTTACATAGGCACCCATGTTCAGGTTGAGGCAGAAACTCTCCCATCTCCTCCTCTCCCCATTCTTCTCATGCTGTTGGACTGCTTCAGCCACAATCTGGAGTAGAATGAGGCCCCTCAGGGATGTAATGGGGAATCTGACTGATTAAAACATGCCCATGGCAAAGAGGGAGGGCTGCTCTGACCTGCCTCTAACCCAAGGCAGCAGCTGAGTTGGGCCATTCTGGATAATTCTTTTGGGCACAGGTACAGAAATTAGGCATTTACAATGTCTGAATTTGCCCTGTCTGGCACAGGTCTACCATCACCCAGAAGTTTTCAACCCTGAGCTGATGGGAAAGGAGCAGCAGGAGCCTGCTTGCTCCTAGCTCATTTTGCCCCAGTATTTTCTTCAGTTCTGAATGAGCAGACAAAGGTGCACACGAGGGTAGGGAGGGAAAAGTATCTCTCAAGTGCTAGCAGAGGAGCTCTAAAGCCTTGTTTCTCCTGGGCCATGGCCACTTATGCCTTCCCTACAGAATACTTGCCATCCCCAGTCTCTAAGCCCTTCACACAGAGGCCAGGGTGGCTTCAGGAGGGTAAGTAGGGCACGGCCTGGCCTTTCTCCTTGATCAGAGGGAAATATGTGTCTGCCTCCTTCCTCCCACAACCTCCGCTATGAAACAGAATCACAGCAATTTTCCCTGACAAGACGGATGAGTCGGTTTTCAGAAGCAGGGATGTGTGCAGCATCATACACTATTATGGCTGCTACTACATCAGCATCTCCCCCCTGTTGGACTATTTTGTCTAGTTATCTCCACGCTCTGAAATCATCCAGTAATGCTTCAAGACTTCATGAATTTTAAAAGAACAACTGCCACAAACCTGTTCTGTGTGCTTCAGTTCAGGAGCCGCAGATCCCTAGACAGAGATAGGGATGTTTTCTTCAAAAAGCTTTATGGATGTCCCCTCACATTCTGCCCCTCTTGAGCAGCCTAGATACAGGCTGCTTGCTCACTGTCTCTTGGCAGGAGCTTGGCTCTCAGCATAAAATGGTCAGTCCTGTAGGTTCATGCTGTGTTCTGTGGTTTGTTCAGATGAAGGGCCAACAAACAGACTGTGGACAAGGACTCTTCACACCAGGGGCAGGAACTGAGTTCCAGTTCAGGCAGAGAGCAACAGTGGTCGAGGGTTGGATGGATGGATGACTAGAAACAAAACTACATCCCATGCCTGGACCTCCTATAACATTATTTTAGTCCTGAGGGACTTCATTTGCTTTTGGTGAAGCTGCTGGTTATTTATGAATATCTAGATAGGTTCAGAATAAAGTCCTTTAGGCAAAGGTAACCATTTGTGGCAGCTGTTGCACTTGGCACAGTGATTCACACTAGTGCAGCAGCAAGATCTCTTCAGTTTCTCCTAAAGTGAGAATTGAAAATTAGTTGTCCTTCTAGGAGCAACATCTCTGAGGGTGATGCTGTTGTTGCGTCACTGCACTGAAGTACACGCTCCACCATCAGGGTGACATCCCTGTAAAGCTGGTATTGAGTTAGAGCAGGGCTCCCAAAACAGCAGCTCAGCTCAGATCTGGGGTAATTAGCAAAAATTCAGTTTTCCAGAAAACCCCACTGATGCTCAGACTTGCTTTTCCAACACTCCTCATTTCACCTATCAAAAAAGAAGGAGAAAGCAAAGCCTTTCAATTGAAAATGGTTTCTTTGCTTTTAAGTTTTCTTATTACATTGAATGCTTGATGCTTGCGACTGAAATAAGTATAAATACATATTGTGATTGTAAGGCCAATGTATATTGTGGAGCATAATCAGTTATATCCCATTTTCCCATACCACCAGAAGAAAAATTAGGGTATAGAGATTGAGCATCCATTTCACTGCCCTATGGTACCTGATTTACAACTGCAAAGCTATACAGCAAATTTTGCATAATGATTATAGAGCTTCATAGATGTCATACCTGCTGTTTTGAAAAATGCACCTGGCTGTTTGCTCTCCATGCTTTTCTTTTGTGACTGAAAATAACTATCCTTAGAAGCAAACTGCACCCAGAGGCCCTTGCAGTGTGAGCTGCCGTGTATAGGTGGCTGATTTGGCCTCATGCCTCATGCTTGGGCTTTGCTGGACAAGTGTTTGAACGAAGGCATCTGCCCACGTGCTGGAGCTTGCAGGGTCATGGTTCAGCAATGCATTTTGCTGTTAATCTGTGCACAATATTGCCATTAAAATGTATCTGTCCAGGAAATTGCGCAAGGTTATTTTTCAGTCTGCATTACTGGGAAGCAGTAATTAATTCTTAAAGCTGGAATATTTCTCTTCTAAGGTATTTGGCTCAATCCCCATTACTAAAAACATCCTCTTCTCAGGTTTCAAAAGGTCCTTGTAAACATTTCATAGTAATTTTCCCCCTTGGGATGGTAAGCTGATATCGATAAATATTGTTTCTGGGAGCAGCTCTGAGAAGAGGGGACTACACTCTCCTCCATCTGGGGCAGTGGGGTGAATTACAAACTCCAATCCTGCAGCTGATACTTCCTTCCCTTCCTGCAAACAAATCCCAATGCAGGCAAAGCAATGTGCCTGTTGTTCGGGGCTCAGAGCCTGAACCCTTCCAAGAGCATTTAGGAGCATGGTTTGATCTGAACTGCACTCGGCAAGCAAATACCATCTCTTTTGGCATCAAGAAATCCAAATGTCTAACCCTAGGAAACAGATCTGGGAGAAGCCTGAGGAGTGCAGAGA